GTGCCTTTCCTCGACTACTATCCTCTGCTCTGATGCCAACACTGTCTTCTAGAACCCTGCAGCACCTCGATGCCTTCATGCGTCTGGGTTCACTCCCTCACACAGGTCGAGTATTAAATCACGACTAGTATTGGAGTTGATCAAATGGAAATTATTGGGGATGTGCTATCATACGACAAGTCCCTGGTGTTGCTATTGAGAGGTTCACTCGAGCTGGGCAAGAATGAGGAGAAAAAATGGTGATATAAGTGCGGTTACCGAGGATCGAACCTGCATGATCTAAACTGTGGGCTATCATCCGTTTGCTGATGGAGTCTGTATATGTTTTGGCCCATTTTTTGGGCTCCTTTCGTCCCAGTAGACGCCGAGAAGATCTTCGAGAAGGTCGCGACCGCCCTTCGAGAACCTCTCGGAGACTCGTGGAAATCTCCAACCTGGTCCGATTTCCCCAACCCAATGATGTCGTTATTGTCTATAGTATAGAACTCGAAATAGAACTAGGATCGCGAATCCTGGTTATAGAGCTAGCATTCTGATTATATGGCCAGCATGGAATCTATACAAAGTCTTGGATCGAGAATAGTGAACTAAATTGCATTTATCGTGCATGGTTCTGTGTTTCTCTTATACGATGTAGTTGTGCTGTCACTATAAGTGTATATTTTCACCAGCTTAGTGTTTTCATATGGCCACCATCACTAAGCCAGAAGGGAAGGTGGAGCGTATCAAACGCAAGTGCGAGGGTTTGCCTTGTTTTCATGTCGCTGGGACGAAGCTGTTTAGGTTGGGAAATGAGAACAGCACGAAGCAGCCTATGATGAGCCTTATGAACGACAGACGAATATGCAGAGGGAGCACGTATGCAAGGGTGCCGGCACAGAACAGACACGATTCGGGTGAGGAGTGGTATGAAGTTGAGGAGTAATGGTTGTATTATCAGCTCGAATGGATTTAGAGCGGGAAATACAGAAGAAAAAGGTACAACGCGCTAACGTAGTGCAAGAGGTGTCTAGGAGGGTGAGAATTTCTGTGCGATTCACGATTACGATGCAATGTTAGGGGCCTTCTACTGAGGCTACACGGAACCGTCAGGAAAGGAATGTTCAAACGGAGGAATACTATGAGAAGTTGACGACCATAGTCAGAGAGTACTACTGGGTTGGGGTGTTATTGCGGTATTTTTTTCTGCATTAGATATGATGCTGAGACGCAAACTCCATTCGCATACGAGCGTCCTCCGAGCCCTTTGTTCATGCCAGTCTCGAGCGGTAATGATGCCGGTACGCAAATCCTTGAGGGAGAGCTCTTCGATTTTGACAAGGAAGTAATGATAATTAGGGATAGTAGTAGAGTTTCACCACCCTGCATATCACCGCGAATATCGGATTTTTCATGGAGTATTACGCCACTTCACGTAAAGCGGCAGCGTTGCTGTCAGGTTATACCTGTGTTGGAGGTCATCCTGGGAAGGACCATCGAGAAAGCTCTGATGGAAGTGTTGGAGGAAGAGGAGCTGAAGGCGATAGAAAAGCGACAGGCTGAGTAGGGCTGCAGTACAGCCACTGTGAGGAATGTGATGCTTTAGGTTTGCAGCCCTACGTCACGCAGAGCTCTTGGAGGCTCAGCGTATGGAGGGCGTGGAAAAGCGGCGATCTGATGAGAAGGAGCGGAGGAAAACACAGGAGAAAATGAGGGTCACTAAGGAAGGGGTAGGCAGTATGGAATTATATGCACATGGGCAACTACGTGTGTCGGTGACAATATGAAAATTTTGGGAAATTCTTGTTGTTTTCTTTGTATATTTTCACACTAGATGTGTATAAATTGCTGAGCTCAGCTGAGGAGGAAACCCAATACATATTTCAACACTGGAAGTTAGAACGCTCTAGTGTGGTTGGTCATCAGGTCCTTCGCCTGAAAGTCCTTTCGAGGCAACTGTCGAAGCATGTTGTCGCAGGAGTGGAAGCTGATGTGTTTAGAAAACTCCAGGAGCTGGGCAAGTTCGATGCTCCTCAACTAGTAGGGTAATTTTTGCAATTTTCCCGTTATTGGGAGTGTTTCAGATCGACGTTGAAACGAGAGTACTCCCAAACATGATGAGTAGAGTTGCGGAGGAGGTGGCCCTCCGAGATGTCAGTACTCGGCTGGTTGCGGAGTTGATACATGCGGCGTGTGCTCAACGGAGGAGGAGGTTCACTGAGTCACGTGAT